CACCTGGGATTTGAAATCTCGCCTGTTGTTCATTTTAGGATAATGGTTCTGGACACAGGTCGCCTAGTTGAGATGGGACAACCTCAGGAGCTGGAAGCTCGTAGTGGATCGTTATTCCGTGGAATGCTTGAGGAGGCAAATCTCCTTGGAGCAGTCCCGAAGAAATCGAAGTAGCCGCGTCTCTCAAACTGATTATTTATATCCGCGAATCCAATCCAACCCATTTATACCCCTTTCGCTGATGGATTTCGTATGTAGTGACAAATTTTTGAACTAATTTGATTCGCCATTTACCCGTGTTCTGATTTGTCTCATATAAAAATTTGCGCCTAATTTCGAACAAAAGGTCCGAAAAATACAAATAACGCGAATTAATGTTGTGTCGCACAAGGCCCTGGAACATCAGTTAGCACAAATCGATTTGTCTGGGAGTCGGGCTGAAGGTTCCAAAGCGAATGAGTCAGTTTATCACGTTTCCAACTCTCTGGAACGATATCTACACTCTGCGTGGTTTGACTTCAAAACGACACTTCTTGTTAGAACCAGTTGACCGCTGAGATTGTGGCGAGATACTGGACATGGCCGAGCAAATCTTCTCATTTTGCAGGTAACTGAAGGCCTTGTAGCCGCATCACACGCAATTCGGACAGGAAATTGTCTTCCCAACCGCTAGTCCTCTGAGTGTGCTTATCCCCCGCCGGGAATCCAAGCCTACTCCTGCCATACTCCCCTCTGGTGGCCTTCCATTAATGAAATTGTCACTTTACGAATCTCGGCACGTACTTCTCAGCCTACAATAAATCTAAGTTTCCAAATTTTCGTATTCTTCCATCAGAATAGAAATGGGGATTAAAATAAACATTGAAATTGTGACTAAAAAACACATTTGCCCCAAAGTTCACAATCAAAGGTAGGAAGAAATATCAAAAGTCGTCGTTCTCAAATGCCTTTTTGGCTCTGTTGAGCTCTTCACTGATCAGCAGGAGCTCCTTCGCACGTGAAAACTTCCGCGGGTCTGAGCGCACCAGATAGGCGATGTCCTCCACTGTTATCTTCCCTAAACGCCCCATTTCAAGGGCTCGTCTAGTCTACAAGGGGAGACAGAGCTTTCCAAAAAAATCAATAAGCACTTTTTTTGCAAAGTTAGAACGGTATTCTCACAAATGAGGCATCCCTGTAAATTGTATAAAATCATTTGGGGATTTTACATCAACTGTCCTAAGAATGTAATAAGGTTTTCATCGTTCAATTTATTATTATCGTTTCTTTTCTTGTTGAAACGAAGGCGGGTCGGAGAACCCGCGGATTTTTGAAGGCGATTTCGGTCATTTGAATACACAAAAATGCTGCAAAACAAACGCGACGCAGCACGAGCCACTTTTGTGTGAAATCAATTTTCCCTCGTTGAATTTTGAGGAATTTATGCAGATGGCTTGTTCGCGATGCATAAATCGCATGTCTAGTTATGGTGACATGAGTTTCTTGATCATTTAGTTACCAACAGTTTTTCCGATAGCCTAACGTGACCTTGAACCAGCGGCGCGAATTCAAGTTAGAAGCGCACGTTACTAGGAATTTGACGTAGGGAATTCGGCGACTAAGGAAAGGAAGCTGTACTTTTCATAGCTCATTTCAGACCAGAGTATTCGTGTCTCATGTTTACGTGGTGGACCAACTTGGAGTAGACTTTACACGCCGACTTCTCGCAAGCAACAGTGGTGATTCTGAGTGTTTAATTGGCACAACTTGTCATAGTCTTACTGCCACTTATTTTAATCGCAAAAGTGGAAGAGGCAAATCCAAGAAACCCACCATATCTAGCAGATATTGCACTGCGATTTCTTCAACAAGTGCGACCGTTTCAGGGAGGGGATTCTCGACGTCGCCAAACGCGTACAACATGGAACGGACTGAATGAAAAATGGTTTAGATTGTATACATGTTGGAAGGAAGTTTCAACACAACCTGTTGGATTTTAATTTGAGCCGACTTTTCACACGGCCAACGTCACTAAAACTTGAGAGTTTGAAGTGTTTGCATATAAATTCTTATCTTTAACATGTAAGAATTTCAGTCGTGTCGTGAGATAGGCTATGAATAGCACTAATTCGTTGAGTTAATCCATAAACATAATCCATTAGGTCGACGATTTTGCTAAGTGACACTAGGTGGGATCAAGTAAGCCGAGGCGTGGGAGGGTAAAGATGCTATCAGTTCAACAACACTAGCCATTGGTAGGTTGAAGGGACGAAACCAGCCAATCAGATAAGACCTGAAGGCGCCAATTTAGAACAAAAGTCAATTACTAGCCTGAACTCCAGCGGGAGACCTAGATGGTCGAGAAAATGGGAGGTTAAAGGGACATCATGAATTGCATAACTTACTGTCCTTGAGGAAGAGGTGCTTCTTTCTGTCTGTGTTAAACGATTCCTGTTCACAGTCGGTTCCAAAAAACTAGAAAAAATACCACAAACAGATGGAGCTCAAGTGCTTAGTTTAGTTACAAAAACACACCAAGCTGCAAAGTTTTCCGTGATTACTCCACTAACCTTGACACGACTTAATCCGCACTTTTAAAATACTAGATTTAGGTAACTCAAATTTAGTAGAATTTTGAAAAGTGGAGTTTTGAATGAATAAGTGCCTCAATTAAAAAACGGATTAACGCGAATACTAGTACAAGGCGAAGAGAATGCAAATAATGGGTGCCGTTGAGTGTTGGAGCAGGTCTTTACAAAAAATAAGAACCTACGTCTGACGAGGTATATTCCGAGTCCCCCATTCTACAAGAAAATACAAGGACGATAATTTACACCACCAATCAGGTACAAATACTTTAAGCAGTATGGAAACCTTCTAAATTTCATTGGAACTCCGCTCGACACAAAAGTCTGATTCACTGTGATTTCGATTTATACTTATATTGACTTTTGACTCCTCTCCCCGTTAACTGCACTGGGATTGATTTTTTGGCGCGTGCTTTATTTGGGGTATTTGTATTATCGCACGTTTATTTTTGGATGAATTTCATCCAATGCTGAAATTTAATTACCAGTGCAGGGCCCCTCAAAGCAAGTCACTGATAGAACCTCTTGACGCCATCAGAAAAAGAAGCAGTGAAAGGAGGAACGTTGACATAATCGTCAAACTACGATTGCATGGGGATATAAGCGAATTGGTGCATGCGTTGACAACGTAAATGTGTTGTGCATCAAAATAATCATCAAAGCAAACATCACAAAGAACCAAAACAATGATGTGTTTTCAAATGGCTTTATTAAAACAGCTACAATTCACAGAGCTACAGCCTAGGCACGTTCAAATTGCCCCGCCCGCCTCATGGACATGTACACCAAATACGACCCCGCACAGTCTCTACACCCATCTTGCATTTTTCACCTTCATAGACCATTCATCCAATCAGATGACGATTTTCTATAAAAGCCAAAGTCAAGCCGATGAGAGGTCAGAAATCCAATGAAGGCAAATGCATAGATTAATCGATTTTTTTCTGGTTATAACACAAGACCGTCTAACATGAACTGCTGGCCTGACTTTAGGGCAGAAGAGCCCATCTAGAAAACAATTGTCAGATGAACATTGACAACGACGGGTCAAACTGAAACCAATGATACATTTAGTGTGCTTTTGCTCTGTGTCTCTTAACCATGGACTTGATTGGTTGTTTTACCGATGTGGCACATTCACTAAGAGGCTACTTCAAATTTCGGCGCCGAATCACTCCAACGAAGTCCCGACCGTTCTCTGGAGCCATAGAAAAGGCTGACTTGTCAAAACCAAATATACCTATTGTCGCATACGTATAGAGAGAACTCTAAGGCGGAAGGGGCAAGAGAAGGAGGGAGAGTGCGAGGTACGCGGCGACTGTTCCGCGGCTGGTGCTGTCGAAAGTCTAGTCGTGTAGTGCCCCTACTTTTGAGACTGAACTAAAGTCAGACTAAAAATGAAAGACCACAAGAGGGGGGTGTGAGGGGGTAGGCTTGGATTTCCGGCGGGGGATGATCACAGTCAGCGAGCGAGCGGTTGGGGAGGCAGTGCCCTGTCCGAACTGCGTGTGAGGCGGCTACAAGGACTTCAAGTACCTGCAAAACGAAAATATTTGCTCGGCCATGTTCAGTATCTCGTCACAATCGCAGCGGTCAACTGGTTAATGCGTCTAATTAACAAAAGTTATCGTCTTGGAGTAAAACCATGCAGTGTGAGTATCGCTCAGCATTTAAGCAACCATTACTTCAAAGAAGCTTTGCTCGTTCAGTTCCTAAATCGAACTTGGGAACCACACACCTTCACATTCTCTTTTACCAAGCCTAGCTAACTAAAAGCTCGTCAAGAGTCAGATATTAGCCAATTACAGAAAAAGAATGGAAAGGTGACTCATTTTCCTTAGGATTCTCACCACTGACTACGCTCAAATTCAGCTCCACTTCCAAGTAAATAGAATTATGTTACTTGACGTCCCAGGGCCTTAGGGACTAAGAAATTACTGTATATGAATAATCTATGCAGGAATCTCAATTAATGATCGAGATTAAGGAGATCTCCAACGTACTTTGCTGTCCAATCGGGTTTGGAGGTGGCGGGACCACCACCGCTGCCATTAGTGGTAGTGGTGGTGGTGGCGGCAGCAGCGGGGGGGAAGGGGACTCCGCTGCCCCCTGGGCACCCCCCACCCCTTCGGAGGAAGGCGGGCGCGGTGGCGCTAGCGTTGAAGGCGGCGCCTCGACACCCCCGCCTGCCGCCCCCACCCGCGCCCCGACCCAGACGACTGGCCTGCCAATTGAGGGAAGTGGGCTTGCGGCGGGCCGGCGAACTCCCACCGAGGCCGCCCACGAGGCTCTTACCGCTTGCTCCGGGCACTAATTCGTGGAAGAGGAATCAGAACATGATGGAAAAGAGAGAACCGACACAGACCAGAGTTTACACAACATCCAAGGAACAGATTTTAACAGGTCAGGAGTTAGTCATGCTGCATGATTAAGGCACAATTTCTCTATCGCTATGAAGAATTGAACCTTCGGAATTAGCGCTTCAAGACATCACAGACCGCAGGAACAGGAAAGACAAGATTACCCGAAGATTCGTGGGACTGGCGATTCGCGGAGATCCCCGACACACGGCAGGAGGTGAAGTCGTCGAAAGACAACGAGGTGGGTCGCGTGGCTGACGAAGCAGGCGACGGCGCCGCTTTGCAAGAGGTGTAACCCGCGGTCGCGTTGTGAGCCAATGAGGCTACAGTTCTACTCGAAGGGGACACAACACCGGTCACTGTAAAGGAGAGAGTAATATGGGTGTGAGGAAGAGTATTTATCACGCCACACGTCCATCCTGTTTACTTGCACGTCGAGACATTTACTTTCATCCTAACTACAGACAGGCATGTGATATTTTAGTTGTCTCTTGTTCACGCAGATCGTTGGCTCCGATGCGGATTCGAGTACTAAAACAGAGCCTTCACAGTAGAATTCAAGAAATTGAACGATCAGTTTAGTCTGTGACCAATCGATCATTAAGAATTTTAGAAATAGATCATTCAGGGTGGGATGACGTACCGTGGATGGCGTCAGCAAATGTGCTCTCGGTGTTCGCCACAACAAGATCATCCAGGAGCTGCTGCGGTTGCATCGTCGACCCTTCCAACGTCCTCGCGAAGTTGCCAGTGGCGATGAAGGACCGACGGGGTGCAGCGCGGTGAGGTTGGGGATTCCGCGAGTTTGCGCTCGAGTCCCCACCACAGGCCTGGATTCTAGAGGTTCTTGAAAAAGCAGAACAGGGAGAATATTACAGCACGACCGCTTCAGTGCACAGTAATTTGATTTCGGACTGAGTGAACATCGTCGTAGGCTGCACGCGCAACACATCCACCAGGTAGCAAAAATTAAGAGGAGCCTTCAACTTTCCACAGTGTGAGATGCGGAAAGTGAGCCATCCTGAACTAAACACTGCATTATCGAAATTGGACACGGAATTTAAGCGAAAGGACCTTGCATTTTGTTCGCAAGTTGAGTTGAAACAGTTTTCGCTCAGAGGTCGAATCACGTCAAAACGGGAAGATAACATCAGAAAGTAAATGAAAACGTTTATTGGTAATCTCGAGAAGTTGAGTATGGCAGCTGAGAGGACAATGTACACAGAAAGTAGCCTTTAAAAAGCGCAGAAAACAATTTTCAAGACTGTAAAGTAGCTGGGAGTTAGAGTTTTCGCACCCAAAATCATGACAATCGTCCACGAAATACTGAAAATCTTTAATCTCGTCAGAACAACGTCGAGAACTTTGCGGACAAACGACTGTCTCTAAAGAAAACTGGGCATTCAATAGACAAGAGCGCACTCACCCCGCAGCACCTTCTGAATCGGTTTTTTGAAAAGCTTCTACCAACGAATTATGACGGTGGCAATTGGGTCGTCGGTGGTGGCCAACAACGGTGCGGACGTGCGACGGTCGCCTTCGTCCACTGCCCATGCTGCGGCTCGTAACCACGCGCGGTTGCTGCGAGAAAATGCGAAAGAACTCCTTCTCCAATTCATCGGCGATGTTTATCCTCGACACCTCCTTCACCTGGCGGTTAGGTTGTCGCGAGTGAAACATCGCTTCGTCTGAAGTGTCTTGAGGATTTCGCTAAAATATGTAGAAAAAATACACAAATGCGTAGACACCGCCATTTTGCTGAGCATATCAACGAGTACGCCGGGAAGTTTTCTGTTAATTTTATGACAATCGTGATGCTGGGTGTTCGCGAGAACATGTGTGTCAGAATTGGTTCAAGAAATTCACTCAAAGCCGAACGCCATTATGTTGATCTACTGATGTTGCTTACGATGCATTATTTCATTGCACCGTGGTGACACAACCAAAAGGCATCTCACATGAAACGAAACAATCCCCTTTGTGGAACAGTTCATTATCGGTAACAAAAAAATAGTTTACAACAATATCAATCGAAAATGACCGTAGTCTAAATCTACTAAAACAGTAAAAACTACAATGAAAGGTAATTTGTGTCGAGAACTGCTGACGCTGTCCGTTTGAGGAAGCTTTGAGTTGAATTCAAAAAACCAAACGACTAGCTCGGATGTTTACGTTCAACACCTTCTGGACCGTCGATTTCGGAGTAATGCAAAACACCAAGGTTGACGGCAACCTGGATTCGTGCTTGGTTCAGCTTTTTGCTGTGACGTGGACTAAAGCTGCCCTGAGCGATCGGGAACACAAAGCTATCAGTCATTGGACAAAACCGAAAGTGGATAGGTGATTAAATTTCATTCGTTGTGAGTAAAAAACATTAAAAAAACGAAATGTCTTTCTCGCTAACCCATTAGTTTGGGTTGCACCTCGATTTGACCTGAAAACTGATCCACAAACACGCAGTAGTGATGAGAAAAAACTTAAGCAGTTGACCCCAAGACAATGAGGTATTCTAAAGTCAAAGGCATACGCGTTTGTGCTGGTGACAGAAGACCCTAACGGAGCGCTTGAGAGATGGAGCACAGGCCAGGGTTGGCTGTCCCATGGAATTTATCGCCGGGCTTCCAAAATTGTTCGATTGGTCGACATCATCCCGCCAGTGATGACCAACTGGAGTTGCCTCGAATGTGCTCACACTTTCAACGACTGGAATCGGGTCCTGGTTAGAACGAGAAATTTCAGAGTCACTACTTGGCGAATTGTCAAACGTGGGGGTCACGTAAACGGCTTCAAAATACATTAGGCTAAACACACGTCCTGTTTGTTGTGAGGTTCCACCCTGGACAGAGATTCATCGCCAAAATGTCATTACTTCGTTTAGGTTTGACCGAAATTGGTAATGTGGGTTTTAGTTCATTGAAATGTGAAAAAGTGGTTTAAGTATGATCATCTGTTCGAGGTTTAGACAAATCCTGAAAAAGAAAGACAGGGAGCGATTCCATGAGACTCAATTTAAAGATCTGAGCAAGAAAATAACCGTGTGGGCCGCTTTGTGTCCCTCCCATTGGTTGTAGAGAGTGCGGTAGAGGTGCGCAGTGGCATTCAACTCGTTCACAGCAGAGGCAGACATCTTGGACGGTGACAGTCGAGAAGATGACGCCTCATCGCCTGAGCCGCCAGGACAGTTGCGTTTTTGCTGACGATCGCCACTGACAACCGACTCGTGCGAAAGCCCCAACAACCTCGTCTCCTCAGCTACAGAGGGCGCCATTGGATAACACTCCTCATCTTAAAAAAAAGGATAAGCACATAAACAATGGGAAGGGTTGGGAGAACACTCAAAACATAAGATCTACCGTCAAAATGCCTATAACTACAACTCCCGAGTTTGTGAAGCATGAATAATAACAGTTGCTATGATTGCAACTTCGAGTGTCACGTGTAAAACTAGACCAAACATCACTGTTAGTTTGCTTCCGAAGTGATGGCTGCCGAAACTCATGCTAGGTGAGTGTTCGAAACGCATGACATTTTCAAAGGCATACATGGACAAAGGTGATGGCTAATTTGTCGTCATTGGCACTGCCTGTGAGACAATTACAGGCTAAACCTCGCTGAGCCTGATATTGGCGTATTTTTTTTGATGCTCCACCAAAAAATCTGAGGTTTCTGTGATCCCTTTCAATGAAAATAATCGCGATCACAAAAAACCGCTTTCTAACCGTTTCTGCCTCTGGCTTCTAGCTGTCGGCGGCACGCTTTCTGGTTTCCGCAGGGAAAGGCGGAAGCACCGACTTGCGCAGCGACGGTCGGCGACGTCTTAGCCTCCAGTGTGGTTTGGCCATTCGCCCGAGAGATCGGCGGTGCCTCGGTGGGACAGATGTTCTCGGTCTCACTGTTAGGCCGCAAACTTCCCTCGGCGCATGCAAAAAATTTGCTCTTAAGTGCCTTAATCATAAAATGAAAACAAAAAGGGGAGCAAGGTGAGTAGGGAAAATAACTGAAACCACGTAAACATGACTTGCTTCACTCTTAGCTGATGGTCTCAATTTAAGAAGTAAAGAAAACCAATTAGAGGGGCAGGAAGAAAGTTACCATTGTCTGAGTTTATAACACATTTAGTAGCATAGCGGAAGAGGTTATATGATTTGTCGGTAAAAGTTTTATTCGCATACACCTACAGCTCGAGCTGTGGGCCTTCTTTTGGGGTTCCAGGAGATCAGTTCGGCGATAAGCTGCACCGCAGCACTGCTTGCGTTGGTGACGATGCTGCTCAGTCGAACTGGAGGGGACTTCGGGAAATTGAAGTTCATCGCGCTCGCCAACTTGTAGCCCTCTGGCCAGTCATGCTGAAAAGGACGTTCAGAGGAAAATGGTATCAAAGTGGTCGCAATTTCAAATAAAAACTTAGAAAATCAACTAACTTCTAGCATTCGTTCCACAGGACACTCCGAAAACTAATAAAGACCTTTTACATACAACAAACCTTCGAAATTGAAAAAAAGGCATATTGGGCCATGGCTCGTAAAGTGCTGGGCCAGATACAACCACAAGATATTGCGTTCATGGTCAATGCTACTATCGCCTATTCAATGTCATTAACAATTAAAAAATAAGAGGCACGAAAACAAAAAATTGAAATTTAAATTACCTGATTGGGAGTGCCAAGTACAGAGCATATCTTGTAAATCATGTCGATCTCAGAATCGCCGGGAAAAAGAGGTTTCAGCGTAAACAATTCGGCCATAATGCAACCTACCGCGAACAGGTCAATGGGTGAATTGTAACTCTGCGAACGTAACAGGATTTCTGGAGCTCGATACCTAATATAAAAAGAGAGAACGTGGGTAGAAATTAAACATGAAAAGTAAAACTTCCACCTGCTTTAATAAAGAAACATACCACCTGGTGGAGACATAATCAGTGTACGGTGGCTGAGAACGGATCTCTCTTGCTAGACCAAAGTCTGCCAACTTAACTACATCAACGCCGGAACACAGCAGATTTTCTGGTTTAAGGTCACGGTGAAAGAAGCCTTGAAATTACAATGAGCAAAATTTCAATCCCCTTATGACAGCTTATCATGATCAAACCAACACACACATACCTTGTTTGTGCATGTACGCAAGCCCGTCCAAGACCTGGCGAATAACTTTACGGACAGATTCTTCTGGAAATAACTTTTTTCTAAAAGAAAATTGTTCTCAGATATTACCAGACAAAATATAGCGTCAATAAACGCAAAAAACTGGAATGCACAAATGGACAAATATGCTAGACACCTGCGCTTCATCATTTCATACAAATTTTCCTTCATGTATTCAAATACAAAGTATAGTTCATCCTTTTCACGAATGACTTCTTTCAGTTTAATTATGCACGGATGTTCAAGGCGTTTCAAAGTCTTTAAGAAGAAGAAGAAATATTGTAAAAATAAAGGAAATTTGGGTCATGCCATTAAGTAAGCTAATTTACACTTGTCATGCTAGGAATAAAATACACGCTTTGAACGTTCAGTATTAAAAGACACCATAATATTGTGACCACTATGAGAAGCAACGACGGGACAATAAAATACAAATGACATGCTTCGCGAAGTGCAAGAATTATTGAAGGAACTACCTATTATTGAAAAAGCTTGTAAAATGCCATAAGTGTACAATGTACCAAACCAAAGTAACCGGCTTTTTACACTTATACATGCACGAAAAGCCATTATTAAACAGAGGAAACATGATGACGAAGACCGACAAAAGGACGAAGGGACTAAAAATAGTGTACAAATGACTGAATTCAAAATTGTACACTAAGAAGACGACTAAAAACACAAACTATACCATTTATTACCTTTACTTCACGCAGATTCAGGCATTCTGCCCATGAGTAATACTTCTTTTTCATTCTAAACTACATATAAATTCAACAATTTACGTTACTTCTTGATAGCAAATTTCTCCTTGGTTTCAACTGATGTGGCCAGAAGTACACAGCCATATGTTCCATCCCCCAGCTGTCGCATTAAGTGATATCTGTTCATGTTACTTATCTATACTTCCCCATTTCATGACCATAATTCGAACTTGCGAAATTTTGTGCACACCGTTACAAATTCATTGCCAAGGCCAGACAGGTTTGTTTGTACTGGCAACACCTATTAAAAATTCCAAGTTTTTAAGATTACTTCCAATTATAAAAGATTTTTTACAGTTATTGGCAACCTCTGTCAATGTTACGAAAAACGTGAGAATATGGTAGTGCAAGATTGTTTGAAAACAGCTATATTACAGATTAAAATTAAGATAGACATTCTTCAAAATCGATCCTAATGATCATTTGAGACTAGTAGAGCAGACAACACGTGTGATAATATCTAGCAAAGAAAATTTTAATTGATATTAATTATGAGTAATTGCTGATTCCCGTAGAGAATCTAAATATTTCGATTTCATTTTTTTTCAGCAGCAATCAGAATAAAAGCGTGAAATGAGAAAAAATTATTCGAATATTGTCATGATTTTGTATTTGTTATTGATTTTGATAGCAGGACCCTAATCGCTGACTTCATATCGTTCAACGAATAACCTGCCGTGAATCGCGTTGTTCACTTCAGCCTCCATACGGAGCCTTCTTTTCACCGCATGTGCTGATAACGCGAATGTCGAGGGTTTTATGATCTTTTTCTGTAGCATCTCTTCGATAGCCTCCTCGACAGCCTGCTGATATGCCACCGGAATTCGACGGGGCCTTTGTCTAATAGGATGGGTTTCGGTAGTATGGATGTCGTGACGGGTGACACTCGTGCGGCCAAGGCCCCACTCCAACCTATGACAGCAGGATTCCCCAATGAGTTAGTTGGGCTGGACCTCATGGGTCCTCTTCCCCAAACGGTGAATGGCTACCGGTATATCCTGGTAATGGTTGACTACTTTACTAAGTGGGCCAATGCAATACCCCTAAGAAAGGCGGATGCCGCGTCGGTGGCGAAAGGGTTCGTGGCAGGATGGGTAGCAGACCGTGGGGTACCATATCAGATTCACACGGATCGGTGTGCTCAGGTTGAAAGCTTATTGCTTTCGGAGCTGTGTGATGTGCTAGGCATCTATAGAAATCGTACAACGGCTTATCATCGTCAAGGGAATGGTCAGGTAGAAAGGACGAATCGGACGCTCAAGACGCTTCTAAAGTTGCATCTTGATAGATATGCGCTTCACCAGTGGGATGAAGCTTTACCGACCTGTCTTTTGGCGTATAGATCTGCTGTACACTCATCCACAGGCCTGACTCCAGCTGAAATGACTTTTAGGCATCAGTTAAGGTTACCAGCTGATGTTATGTCACCACGATCCCGAGAAGCCGAATACAGATGCTCTTCTGAGTATGTTGCTGATCTGCGACAGCAGCTTCGTCGTTCATTCGAAACGGCCCGATCACAACTAGTTTTGGCACATAAACGGCAAAAAGATTATTATGATCAAGCGGCATTTGGCGCGCCAGTCGAAGAAGGTGACCGAGTCTGGGTAGCTATACCTACTACCGCGGGAGAAGGTAGAAAGTTGCAACAAGCGTGGGAAGGTCCATATGTAGTTGACTCGGTGCTTAGCGAGGCCACGTGCGTAGTTCGCGACCCTGCTGATCCCCCCGGTCGTGGTTTCACAGTACATTTTAACAAACTGAAGCCGTATCGACCAGAGGCGGAAGATGAGGACGAGCCCCTTGTGTACTGCGAGCCACCCCCAGTTGACAACACCGTTGAAATCGCTGCGGTGGAGGGTGACGAGAAGCTGGGGACAGCTTCACTCTTGAGGGGGGGCAGTGTAGCGTGGGGGCAGAAAGACGCCATCTTGGCATCCAGCCATTGGTTGAGAGCCAGTGGTGCGCCGTAGGGGTGGCATCACGTGATTTCCGGTTGCGAGGAGTATTTAAGTTTCAAATGGGGCGCCAAAGCCCAGATAGCCAATCACCTCACGAGATTGTCTTTCTATTTCTAGAAGCCAAGCAGGAGCCAATGAGCTGACAGGAACAGCCTGAACCCGGTATATAAGAAACCCCTTGTGAACACTAGAACTTTAACCCCGATACCGGAGACCTACGTTGATATTTTTGTACCAATAAACTTTCTATTCGTCCATACGCCTTCTGATCACGCTACACATGTTGCCAGCCGCGAGACTTCTCACCTCTCCCTCATTTGTGAGAACATCTATCTTAGCTTCTTCTTACACCGATGTCTTAATGTAAGCTTATAAATGACCCACACATCCGAGGTATGAATCCACACGCGCAAGCGCCACACGACACAACAACATTAACGTGGTTGAGCTGTGAAGTGAACAGTTGTATCCACGTCCTCTTCAGTCTTCTCCCTCATCTCAAGTATTAGGAAAGTTAAGACGGACTAGATCTAACTCACTGGTCCCGGCGTGGTTCAAAACCGCATACTAAGGCGCACAACAAAACCAAAAGAAACAACCTGAATACCAGTTCACTCCCAGCCAGTGACAATTGTTTTGATCGGCTCATTTGTCATCTTGAAAATTTTTTTTGTATTTTGTCCCTTTTAAGCTGTTTTATATTTGTTGTTTACTTGAAACCTCAAATAACGTTGAATTTTCACAATAAATGAGTTCAAAACTAAAAAGTGACCGTTTATCTATATCTCTTCCACCCTTAATTTTTCTATGGGCTTATCGAGCCTTTTTCGGATACATCACTCATTTCAAAATAAATCCAAATTACGCTACATTCCAGCCGGTCATTTAATTATGAGTCTTAAAGCGGTAAAATTGCAACCACTCTACCAGGACATTTAACAGGAGCTGACACGATACTACTTTACTAGTGTTAAATACAAAATTTTGGCGGCTATGTGTAAAACAACGGACGTCTGTTAGAGAGTTTCCTCAACGTGATTAATAACATTCAGTCGTAACGACGAAACAACTGTTCCCTCTACACACATTACATTATTTCTGTGTAACCATTTGTTTTACTACACAGATTTTGTTAAAACACTACACCAGATCCCCAATAGTAGTCGAAAGCGTGCTTATTTTGCACAGTTAGTTTACGTTACATATTTTCGCAACACATATTGCTGGTGTTATTTACAATAACTTTCACATAACCATTTCAACAGCTTGCGAAAACAATTCACCTCTTCGAACTTACAATTAAAATTCATCTACAAGCAGCCTACTAATCCGCGACAGGCTCATGTGTTCCAGTTACAAAATTCATCATATTTAAATAATTTCACTTCTCAACGCAATGATGCTCAGATGACCGACGCTAATGACAAGCTAAAAAAACGCAAGCAACATATGGTGGCATTTTGCAGGTAACCTTCATGGACCTTCAAATCACTAATTCCTGGAAGCGCATAAGGGAATTCACCATGTCATACCTACTATAAAATTAACCAGTAAAAATAATTGAAAAACCCATTCAATTAAAACAAAAACCGCAGACAGATGACCCATCTAATAAGGCAGCCCAAAGCCACAGGTATAAAAAAAACATTTTTTTTAAAAAAATCTATATACATATATATCAGTCCGAAATATACCGAAGCATTACGGCAAAAAATACTTCGGAAAAAACAAATCTAAAATTAAAAGATCAAACAAATCGATAAAACAAATAATCAGGATACAATTAAACAAAGAAATATGAAAACTAAGCCAACGACAATTTTAAAAAATATAATCACGAATCACATAAAAACTTAACATTTAAAAAAAAACCAAAAAAATCAAAAACAAAGAAAAAATCAGCCAAAAAAAACCGCAAAAAAAACAGCAAAAGAAAAATCACACAAAAAACGGTGCTATTACCAACATATTCAGTAGAGCTGAGAAAGCCTACAAGAAAGATTATTCATCTAAACAAAGGAAAAAAATTGAAATAACAACATGACGCTTACTAGATCGGTCACAGGCAGAAGTAAACAGAACTCAAAGAAAGAAAAACATATCAAGACACCATCGCCTGAATGCATCGCCACTGTCTCATCCTCCAAACCACACATTCCACACACCTCCACGTCCCACCACACTCACACTAACAACACATGCACGCGTTCGTGCACTCTACGACCCCATAACGCTAATGCGCTACCATCGCCCGAATAAACCGTCATGAGGCGGCATCAGCACACAGTGATGAAGTGTGCTCGTTTCGAATTGCCACGGGTGCATTGGTCAGCATCAAACACTCTGTCACACCACAGCTTCATGCCATTCACACTCTGAATGCCTCCCACACACCCTCGCACACATCCACACGACGCACACATGCACACGACGCACACTCACCTCGTCCAAGCAAATTCACACCTACCTGTGCCATGTGCATCCCTTCTTTCGCTCACTTTCAACACCCTCTCTTTGCTTTCTTCTGACGATTGAGCTGTCGGTTTCCTTGATCTCAATGTGTTGTATACCGCTGCAGCAAAAGCATGGATATCTGAAAAATTGATAATTTATCGGTTTACTGTTATCTGGTTTTATTGTGATTTCTTTTTTGGAGACATAGAAACCTTCAAACTTTTTTGTTTTAGTTCCTGTAAATATATTTTGAATTTTTTTCTTTAGATGTATTTAACTTTTTCGCCGATTTTTTCCTAATTCCAAATTTTGGAAATTTCTGTTAATTTTGGACATTTGTTTGAGTATTTTACTAACACATTATCCATCATGCAGGATTTTAAACGCACCGTACTGCATCTTCGCCCAGACTGAACTCGGAAATCAATGTTCCTAGCTGCCACGTTTGAAAAGCATCTGCAAACCTCTACAAGCAAAAAGTCTTCTTTACTGGGAGCTCAGGTATGTCGAAGACTTGTACCTCATTTTGGTTGGAATTGATCCGAGTTTGAGATAAATCGACAGGTCCAGATTAATGCAAAATAATCATTGAATGTTTTTTTGCATGGAATTCTACTTTTTGTGCTAGCTACCATAATTCCGTCGGAATAATATATCATTCAATGTATCTTATCGATACTAGATCATTAAACAGATCATCTACTGGAGGATATAGAAGAGGAAATTTCACTTCATATTATCCGTGGTGGATCCGCTGTACCTAAGACAGGAGCTTGCAAATGATCCTTTCAAAGTCAACTAGGATGGGTGAACCGGCCAATTAACTTTGCCCATGACCCTAGCTAACCCAATTAGCAAAGTATATGCCAAGAGGGTAACTTAGGTACTAATGCATTCGAAATCGCTAATATTATTTAACATGGAACTCTAACCATGATCATGGCTTGGCTATCGGGGGAGCAAAGACCTCTGACGAGTCTGTCGGAAGGCGAGAGCTGTTGTTCCTCCTCGTCAGGTGGTGATAAGAAAATCACAAGTCGCTCCACAAGGGCAGGATCATTTTGAATCAGGCCACGTATGAACTCCTCTGTGCAGATCACTGAAAAAGCGATGTTGGGTCCTGATCGCACAAAAAAGTGGGTTTATAGGCAATAAAAGTGCCAGGTTTTGTCAATTATGCCAAAAGTATTGCAAAATACAGAAGGTAGGGCAAGAAATACACTTACGCTCCTCTTTTCCT